GTCACAAACATTCACAAATAGTTTTTGATGGTGATACATCCGCTTAACATTATTGACAGTTGTTTTTAAATGGTAGGCAATTCAATAATTCCAACTCAACTTTCAAAAAGGGATTTTGTGAGCATGACTATAAAGTGCATGATTTCTTTTGGGGTGAGGAACCAGCAGAAAATCAAGAAGCATGCTAAAACAAAATAACATTTGACAACATGCGAACATTACTTTATTGCTGTGTAGCATTCAAGTAAAGATGAAGTTAGCAGGCAGCCCAGGATTTCCAGAAGAAGGTTCTGCAGGGTCTTTTAGTTGTCAAGCCACTTCTCACATCACGCCGACCCTTCTCTTGTTGCGCAGTGTCGTCAAGGTCTTCGTACAAAATTGCATTTTCGGATTTGGAGACTTCATTAATCATATGTATTAGGTCCTGTTTCTGTGTTAGTTTCTGTGAAAGAAAAAAAAGCCTTCAAGTAAATAAAACAAATTATCACCAGTAAATTTAAAGTGACATTTAAAATATGCAGTCAGATGGGACTGTCATCGTGAATTATCCATCCATTATATTTTACCCACTTCTTCCTTTTCAGGTCACGGGAGTCACTGATGCCCATATCCAGCTGTCACTGCGCAAGAGGAAAGGGACATCCTGGACATGTCTCAAGTCCAACACAGGGACATACAGAGACATCTCATTCACTCTCTCACTCACACCTAGGGACAATTTAGAGTTACCAATCAGCCTAACATGCATGTTTTTGGTCTGTGGGAAGAAACCGGACTATCCAGAGAAAACCCACAGAGAGAAAATGCAAACTCCATCCAGAACGGCTCATGGTCAGGATTGATCCAGCAACTCACTCACTGAGAGGCAACAGCTCTACCAACTGATCCACTGTGCTGCCTCGACTTGAATCAGACATAAAAATATATCATTTTTCATGTACTGCTCATAGCCAGAGGGTGAGGTAGAAAATTTGAAAATACATCAGATGAGAAAGTGTAAGGATTACAAAGATTAAAGGACTTACCAAATTTTCTGGTAACTCGCTAAGCAATCCAAACCCATCTTGCTGAAGTTGCAGGTTTTCAATTCCCTCCTCAATCTCCATGTTTTCCACAGTACACGACACAAACAACAGAAGTCCCAAAATGCACAAGATACGGGCCATCCTTGCTCAGAAAATCTTGTGGTTTGCTTTGTGAAGGTATTTTTCACAGCAAGAGATCTCAACACCAGCCACTGATGTAAAACACAGTGAGACACCTGTTTTATAAGTAGCAGTCAAGCCCATTAAAGGGAAAAAGAGGGTGAAGGTAATGCGTCAAGACCATCCACAGCATTGTTTGTTCCCATTAACGCACTGAGGCGTGAACTCTTTAATTTACACTAAACCATTAACAGTGAGTCAGAAAAGACTAAATAAGGACATTTTTTTGCCAACCACAGCTTCATCAGCTTCATAATGTGAATAAACCCCAAGGAATCTGCCTCTGTAAGTGAAGGTCATTTCGATACATTCATTAATATAACTTGTGATTGTATTCCCATTTAAAAATCACATTTACCAGCAAATCCTTATAAATTTAACACCATGTGCAGTCATGTAAAATAAAACTTTAATGACATTAACATGAAGAAAACAATGATTTTATTACCCCTGCTGTGCCATAAAGTCTAATCAATGATAGAGCAGAGACATTTGGAGATCCAGAGACCATAAAGGTCAATTTATCATTAGTTGCACTCTGGTGAGCTAACTCTGGGGATCTGTTTAATGGAATTTCTGCTCTGTTTAACTTTACAGTTCTGGTGCATCTGAATGAAGATGTATTTGTTAGATGCCATAATGATTTTGCAATAGTACATGTTTTAAACAGTTAGCCTTCTTTTGTTAATAGTTTTTAGAAAGGAGGTTTGCACGCTGGTGAAGATTCTCAGTCATCCAGATCATCATGGTCAATTAAAAAAAGGTTAAAAACCTAAAACAACTGGACTTCTAATTTGAAACTGAAGAAAGAGGTGAGCCATTTCTCTTGTGAGCCAGCCAAACAATGAGACTAACGACTATCTATTGTGGAGGTGAATAGGTCCAATCTATTCTGCATGTGAATCTAAATACACAACATGCAGTTCTTTAAAGCTGGGAACGCCCCACACCAGACATTTTAGAATTGATAAAGCCCCTCGAATGGGAAGCAAAGCATCTTGAACTTCAGAATAGAAGTCCAGTTGTTTTAGTTTTTTAACCTTTTTTATTGGTTATGTGGTTCCAATTTAGATGAACGCAAATATAAAGGTGTAAACATATAAAACTTTATGAACTTTTTTTCAAAAAATGAAATACTGAAACCACATTTCTCCACCATTATTTGATTACAGAGTCTGACTTGTAAAAAGCACATAAGCTGTCTAGCTCATGTGTGGTGCATGGAGAAAAGTTTGAAAGATATGTCCTTCACATGGGACACAACCTTGAAGTGTATCAACCTTTCAACAAATTGCCATGTTAACCCAGTTATAGACGTGTAGAAGCCTGAAACATACTGTCCAGCCAATTAGCAAGTGCACTGTCGGGAGCAGAATAATCCTGTTAGGCAGGCTGCAGAAAGTGCTCCACAGCAAGAGTGTCTCTAGCCTCACCGACAAGTGTCTGCACCAGACCATGAAAGGTTTGGATAATTCAAGGTGGCAGAGGGTTTACTTGGAAATATAGGACTTTCATAAATACAGCAGGGCATATAAAGGAAATGAGAGATTTAGTAGTTGGATTTTCCTCCTTTATGCCAAAACCTGATCAGATTGAAAGTGTTTGTGCATCTGGTCAGCTCAACATTTGAACATCCATCCATCCTTCCATTATCTTTACCCGCTTATTCCATTTTGGGTCACGGGGTCGCTGGTGCCCATGTCCAGCCATCACTGTGCGAGGGGCGGGGTACACCCTGGACAGGTCGCAAGTCCATCACAGGGCCACATAGAGACAAAC